GTCCTGCGCCGAATGTATAATATACCGCGCCGCCACCGCTTATACCGCTTAACGCCTTGCACACACGTACACAAACACGCACACCTAGACCCGCGCTACACACTCTTTGGTTTTAAATATATGGGTTACGCTCTGTACTTAGGGCGCTGCTGCAGCGACCGACACCTCTCTCTGTCTCTCTCTCTCTCTCTCTAGTCTCTTGTTGTTCGCGTATTTTTTAATTGCTCCGTCGTGAAAGTATTTCGCAAGTTTCGCAGTGATGCTGAGTCAATGGAGCCGCGCGGTCATTGAATACCAAAGGAGATCCTACGCACGTGGACTTTGTAAAAAATCGTCGCGAGAAGCAAGACGAAGGAAAAAAAATCGATCGAGTTGCCGTTAGTGCTCTTGTTGTATTTTTTGCTTCAGGTCGTAGCAGCCGAGAGTACGTATGGCACGTGTATATGTATAGGTAGGTGGGTGGGTGGGTAGGTGCAGTGCACGATGCGAGTGTCGAGGAGCTTTTCCCGAGGCTATTTTCCGCTGCTCTCCAAACGATGAACGAGTGGCAATCCGGCGCTTTAATCCGACAAATTTATCTTCCTCTGTGCGGGCGCGTAAAATACTACTACACCCCCGTTGCGTGTCTGGCGTGGCACACTATAGCCGAGGGATGGCGCGGGTGCAGGAAGGGAGGATCTAGTTTCGTAACACGACGCGCTTCGCGTATATAACATACACATAACGCCGGATAGCAGCTGAGAGAAGCATGTAGTGCAAAATTTTGAGTGAACCACTCGTGTATTTTATTTCCAGGTCATGCGTTTATAGTGGATCGCGTCGCGCGCCACCTAAAGTATATATTCATCCTTGCAGATTTTTGCAGTCCCGCGACCACTAGACACACATTTATTTATTGCTCTCTCCGCGCACTCCAACAATCGCTCTTTCTCTCTAATGTCGCGGCGCATTATGCTCGCGCGACAACACTCGAGGGTGCATATATCTGTACCGTGGCAGGGCAATCGAAATTGCCTTAATTAGCATTTTTAGCCGGGGCTGCTGCGAGTGACCTCGGCTGCAGGCCCATCCCAACGCGCGAGTCGTACTTCTGGCACATCTCATCTTATCGAGCGCATAATACGTCACGGACGCGACGAGCGAGATATTATGCCATACAGCAGAAAATCTCCTCACGCAGGCATTATCCGCTATACATTAGCCTTACATCCGCATTGCTGTGCGTATATATACTATATATAAATGCGCTCCACACGTATACAAGTGCACGTATATGCACAGACACATTTCTCTCTCTCTCTCAATGAGTACGTATGTGTGCAGTGCAACGCAGGATCCGCGTGTATATATTACATACTTCATTATCCTCCCGCCGCGGTGTATACAGCGAGCGCGCCTCCTCTCGACTATCCGCGTAAATTACGTGCGCACACACAGACACTATAGCCGCGCACACACGCACGCACAATGATATAATATTTGTTAAGAGGAAATAATCCCGCTCGAGGTGTCTTTCGCAGCTAAACGCAAGCTACGCTTGCATACGGCATCGTGAGTTTCGAAAAAAGCTGCAGCGCGCACACACACACACACACAGACATACGTACAGAGTCGAGAGGATAAATCGATCGTTCGTGATCCGCCTCGGTGTATATTACATCTTGTATGTATAAACGACGAAGGCGAGGAGCGAGCGATTTAAAAGCAATCGGGATTTTGATTGCTTCGCTTCTCTCTCTTTTTCTCTTTCTCCTCTGTCTCTCTATTCGCTACATATACATGTTAGTCAGGAATTTTTATGTTTGCTCAAAAGCGACGCGCTTTTCTCTTAATAACTGCTGATTAGCGATTTATTAAAGATAATTGATTAAAGGCTCGCATGCTTTCGAGTGCATGTATACGTGTACCAACACATGCATAAACGCACACAGACACGCAGGCATTACTCGATAATTAGACGATCGTAAAGCTTAACGGTAAGTGCAATTATATAGAGTAAAGATTATTTCATCGCTGTATGCGCGCATCGCTCGACAAGCCGCAACGAGCCTTCCTTTTCCACGTCCAATAATAAGCTGTCCTACGATCGAAGCAGCTTAATTTTTACTGAATTTTCCAATTTCATTCAAACTCTTCCAAGTTGCTCCCAAGGCAGCAGCTTATGTCAAGCTTCGGGCTTTCGTAAACTGTGAATGCAAAAGCATCGAATTTACTCTATTATGACCCTGGCACTGCCGAAGTACATAATTATGTGCTCCGCGCGTCTCTGCTAGCGTTTTAGAATTATGATCAACTGTGTTTATTACTTGGCGCGCGAATGTAAGGCAGCTCGAGTACGTTTCCTGCACTGCAATAGGAACAAAAATCATGGCGTGGCAATATTATGCACGCGATCCATTGGATCATACTTAATTGACGAGTGCGAAAGATTTCTGCAGCTCGCATATCGTGTTATACTCATGTTTGTATTTTCCACGAGTAGGAAGCGAAAATCAGTGGGTGCTTGGAAGAATTCTCGTATAACGGCCAAGTGCTTGTACGCGTGTAAAAAGCACACGCGCTTACCCACTCGCGGGAATTCCTGTACCTCGTCGGCACCTGATTCGGCTCCTATTACCATCCGCTCGTCCAGTGCGTTTGTGTATGGATACGATCGCTGCAAAGAAAAATGATCGTACGCGACTCTCGCGCGAAATTTTGATCGGCGAATTTTTCATTCGTGAATACGTCGCGCGTCGACTCGAGTACGAAGTTTTCCATGCCGACTTCCGTACTCCCATGCGCGCGAGCACAATATAAATTTCGATCGGAGTTGCCTCGAGTCTTCTTCCGGCCCGCGGCTCGAATTTCCTCCTTGAAAATATTAGAGGTGAATACACGCAGACGAGCCACGAGGAGCAGAGTTGCGTAATGAAATTAATGACGCACACGAGTTCATCCTCACGGCGGAGAGATTATCACGGTATACGTGCTCGGGGGCGCCTGCGAGAGCAAGTGAGCGAGCGTGATAAAAAATAATTGTCTTCGGCATTTCGCTGCGAGGATATGCGTTTCATTCCCAAGGAAATCAGCGCGAGAAACGAGAAGAGAAATGTTTACGAGTGCGATACTTCCTTTGCGCGATACACATTCGCGCATATGCTCGCGCGCACACACACAAACACACACTCACAAAGTCTCTCTGTTTTCCTGCCTTGCTGCATCGAACATGTATCATTGTCAATGATCGTCTTGAGAGGCTAATGATGATAAGTGGAAAAAAGAAGCGATGCTTTCCGCGCCTCTCAGGCCCTTCGCACAATAGAATCGCGAGCTTTAATCGACGCGAGCAGCAACACTAGCTTAATTATATAATGGTAAGAAAAAGAATCTCGAGTGTGTAAGATAGACACGTCGATGCATAATTTATGCCGCAGTTGCATAACCGTTCTCGTTTCGTCATTAGACGTAATTGTTAAATTCCTCGAATGGGTTTTATAAACTCATCACTGCACGCTGCTGTATTATGAATCGCGCGCGTCTTTTTTCCTTTACAACACAAGCTCGACTGACGGTACGCTTGTATCGCACCTTTTTCTCCCCGGCCCGATCCTTTTATTGTATCGATCGCTATCGTTTTCTATCTCTATGATTACGCTCACGCGTGTTGATGCTCGAACGACGTGAAGAAGTGCGCAAAAGTGGCCGATGAAATCGCGCCTCGGCCGGGAATGTACCGGGAATCATCGGGACGCCTGATTAACTGGCGCGTGACAAAAACTGTAACTCGCATATTATACAAGATCGATCGCGATCGCGGATGTGATGTCGGGTACACGCTTTTCGCGTCTCACCTCGGAGGCGCCTCTAATCAAACCACCAGTCCCTGCACCTGGATCTTATTAATTTTTCTTGTTGTTGCTGTTTCTGACGCTTTAAAGAATCAGAAAGATACATCCGACTGCTGACACGCGAGCAGCAAGGCGGAGAGCAACTCTAGGGCTTTTTACGCACAATCGCGTTCGGCACCGCTACTCCATGTGCATTAAATGCTCCGCGTACGAGAGAATAGCAAAGTGAAACGAGAAAAAAAAGAAAAAAAAGAAGCCAAAGAGGAATAGAAGTAGCGAGTCTTTACGCCTTGTATATACATCTTAACATTGCAGCTGCGTGCCTCGCTCGAAAGAACATCCGGGTGTTTAACTCCCACCTGCAAAGCTGCGCAACGTCGCTTAGCTCTAGAGCTATATATGAATCAGCATCGGCGAAAAGGAAGAAAAAATAAAAGCTGTTAATAGCAAAAAAAAAGGAAGAGAGAAAAATGAAAAGATGCAAGTCTTCTCTAGCCGCGCGTATGTCTTTTCTATTATGTTCGAACCAATGGAGCTTTCAATACTTCATATTGTGTAGTGCGCGGCGGGAGCGTATATAATTCAAGAGCGCGCCTACTCTCTGCAGAGGATAAATATTTAGAAGGTCGTAATAGCTCGCCTCGCTTCTTCCTAGTTTTCTCCCTCTCGGAGCGCTGCACTACAAACGCGCGTGTGTGTGCAGGTGCACAGTGCGGCAGCGACGTCGGCGAACACTTTCCTTCGCCGACCCTAATGTCTACGTCTATGTGTGTGCGCGAGTAAGCGTGTGTATAAATGTGCCCAGGTACATTTATGTTGAGCTGTTTTCTCGACAAGATTTGCGCAATCTCCGTTTAATAAATAACAGCCAAGACATGATGTTCCGTCCGTAGGCTGTATATCCGAGGAATCAACTTTGTACCCGCGCCAATATAAGCTCGTAAATCAGCTGACTCGAGCGAGCTCGCGCTGCGCAGCTTATACACACGTACTCGCACACACACACACACACACACACACACATAGAGCCGCGCTCGACGTAATATATCCTCATCGCGGCCGTAATGTCAAATAAAGAAACTGTATACATGCGCCTGGCATAATGTTGTTAGAGATATATATAGGCTGTTATGTATGGAAATAAAAATAAAAAGCAGTTGATTAACTTACCGACAGAGGAAGTCCCTTTCGCCGAGGCAAGTCTCGAGGCAGTGCTGGCGCGTGGACGCGTTGGTCGTGCGCTTCGTATGGCCGACGAGGCGATGGCCCTGCACCCTGTCGATGCACCAGGCGCGCTCGCACGGCTTCACCGACAGACAGCTCTTCTGCGCGTAAATCGTAAACACGGGGAACTGCGATTGCGACAGGGCAGCTGAAACAGGAATAAAGTCGAAAAATTAGACACCGTATAGCAGCGTATAATATGAACATATTGCGAAATAATTCGACTCGTAAAATATAATGTCAGGGTAATCATTGAAAATTTTGAAGCGATAGAGATCGATGTAATGTCGTAGCGTAATAAGCGGGAGATCGGCAGAGTCGAAGAAAGAAAGAAAGAGAGAAAGAGAGAAGATTAGATGAAAAAGCCCGACGCGGGTACTTGAATAAGTATTAATGAGAGGGTGTGCGGTGTGTGCGAGTACGCGAAACACCCTGTAATTTTCATCGAGAGAAAGAGAAAGAGAGCCTCGGACGCAGTACATATAAAATCTATAGGTAAAAAGACAGTACGGAGGCGCGTTATGACGTGCGCCGCGCTCGGAACCTGTAAAGTCTTGTAGAAAAAAGAGCGTCAATTATTCAACGTATATAATATATACTGCTCCTTTCGTTCGTCCTACGTCTTTCTCTCCCTTTTCTCGCGTATACTATGTGTTTGTATACATACTTGGCTCTCTCGCGGGATTTCGCGAAAATTACGCTACCGAGAAAAGACCTCGTGTGTGCACAGTACCCACACTCGCTTAAGAAATCTGCGTGCTACTTTGAGTTTTTAGCTGCGTTTACCTACACACACACACACACACACACACATATAGACAAAGTTATACGTATACTTGAACACACAAACACACGTGCATGCATATGTATGCACTTCCGGGGCGAAAAAGACAAGCTCGACGGCAGTAGCACTAGCTCAGCAGCGGCAGCTCGACGCTGCATACAGTTATAATGCTACTGCATTACAAGATAATAGTGTATTATATATATACACACAGATACACATATGAAGGTGGTTTGGCTCCCACACGAGCAAGTGTGTATGTGTGTGTATTTTACTGCTGCTGCTACTTTAGCTATGTACAGGAACTTTCTCGCGTGTATAGATGCAGACAGGTTGCGCGCACGTGATGAGGGATGCCGGGGACTTGTGAGAATAAGGTATAGGAGGAAAAAGTTGATTTACACAACCGCAGACTCCGCGTGCGCCGCGCTTACTGCACGTACATGTGGGGTACATGTATGCGCGCATACTTTTGCGCATGAGGACTCGAGCTCGGTTATTATCGGCAAAGTCAATACTCGTCTTGAAAATATACGGAATGAAGAGAGAAAAAACGTCGAAAATTAACGTTTGCTTCGGAAAACTACATATAATATGTACGAGCGCTTCTCCGTGAATTGCTATTGCCAAGAGAGGAGGGAAAAGCTGGGATGTTGCTCACGACGCAGCTTTGCACGCGTCTAAACTTCCAAACTGCTCCTCTCTCTCGTCTCTCTCTCTCTCTCTCTCTCTTTACTTTTCTTCTAGCTCACGCGTATGCGTAGATCGATTTGGTTGATTCATAAAAGGGGGATAGAGATGGGAGCAAACAAGTGAGCTTGCCATTTACAGCAAGCGTATTTGCATGTGGAGGGAAAAGTCTGTGCTAAGAGGAGAAGGAGGAGGAGGGTAACTGTACGTCCAATTTGTGGCCGTGATTTACATCGAGCCATCTGCCACTAGAGCGAGATTCTGCAATATACACACACGACGTGTCTAACTCTGCAGTTGCAACAACAACAACAACACCAGCAGCGGCGGCAGCAGCAGCAGCGAGTGTGGCACGGTATAGCCCGCAACAACCGCTCCTGTTGTTATACTACAACTTTACACGCGTAGGCATATTGTTGGGTTACGTCGTTGAGCATCGTGTGTACTTCTAGGCACTCGCGAAATGTGAAATGCAGCGTTGCGAATAATTGGCAACCGTTAATTTTGCGAATTAACGCGTTACGCGCTGCCGCTTAATTACGTTAAATGAGTCGAGAGAGAGAGAGAGAGAGAGAGAGAGAGAGAGAGAGAGAGAGAGAGAGAGAGAGGATAGAGGAAGGGAGGCGAACGAGCTAGGCGCACCGCAGGGAGAGAGATATTCCACGCGACAGAGGCGCCTATTTTTTAAACTATAATATATATATCGCACTTGGAGTGCACGCACATAACGTGGAGCACTGCCTATATACACATACACGCATCATAAAGACGAACGTAGACGAGTGACAGGCCACGGGTGCGAGCGCGAATTGTTTCCACTGGAGCTCGGCTGTCCTGGCCGATATGGCGCGTACATAAACTTGACGTATACGATCGCTGCACGGTCCATAGGGAAAGAGGTTTACGTCTTTACATGCCAACTCCATATGCGTGTATACCATCACTGCTGCGCGTATTTGGCCCGAAGTCGTTGAGCAACGTTTTCGCCTGACTTTTACTCGTCGTTCGATTGATTTATTTGACTTTTTTTGCGAGCACGAGCAATTACGCTTTCTTACGCCAGTAGGCAAAAGGTCGTATACAAAGCTCGCAGCGCACGCTCACATATACAGCTGCTGCATTGTCATACTTATGAGTTGTGCAGCTATTCTCGACTCATGGGAGTAGAGCCGAGCATTGAACTTGCCCCCGCGCCAGTGTGAAAGTAAACACAATGACATTTAACGAGTTACAAGGTCATCTACTATGGGACGCGCGGCAGCAAACGATCCTTGCATAACGTACTCGAGTTACGTACATATTCTCTCTTGGTATTGTAGTCGCGCGCGGGCGTATATATTACGATACGATTACGCCACAGCAGCAGATCGATCCTATCGCCGCGGCAGCGTATTAATATCACACGTGTGAACTGGAGTGCTTTGGCAAAGTCGAGCGTGTAAGCGGCTATAGCAGAGATGGTAGTAGCAGTAGTCGCGAGAGTACGCGTGGGATCGTAGCGGGACGCCCGCGAGATACATGCATAGCGCGAATTAAAGCACACACAGGAGACAGGCCGAGAGCGACTTGGAAACTGAGAGAGACTCGAGAGAGAAAGAGAAGCAAGCGATGTATTTCCGGCCGACGAATGCAGCCAACAACAATGTCTTGCGGTTGTGTTCTTTGCTCTCTCTCTCTCTCTCTCTAGTGCTCTATGTTATACGCTATATAGGTGTATGTAGTGCGCAGCACGCAATTGTTCGCGTTTGTAAGTCCATGCGAAGCGCGCCCTGCACTTATACAAAAGTGCGTGTACACGCGCACACCAGCTCGAAATTATACACGCGAGCCTCATGCCTATGTTGCATATATAGACAAGCGCGCGCGCGTGTGTTTGCCGAGTGCTGCCCGAGAATTCGAAAATAAAAAAAAATAAAATAAAATAAAAGAAGAAAGATGCTCGGGATAATAGTCGAGGAAATAAAGCATTCAACCTCCGATTTTTGAACAGTAAGTCGGATTGAGATGCGGTTTTCGGCATTCGATTCGGGAGAGCGTCTAGAAACTTTGTGAACAAAATTTATGAGGGACAAATGAAAATTTGCACCCCGGGGGTGCAATAAACGCATTTCAGGGATGCAGCTTGAACTCACGACTTGGTCAATATGTGTATTTCACTAAATATCGGTAAAAATGAGTCTAATTTCTGCACTCGGGGGTTTTTGGGGTCGCTGAAAACGAATATTACAACGAAAATGTACTACGATGTACCTGGGGCCCAGGGTGACTCTTGTATACCTCGTCTCCTGGAGTTTCATGGTAATATTTAAGATATCTCGTTGAAACTCGTTACTCAGGGGTTTTTGGGGTCGCTGAAAACGAATATCACAACGAAAATGTACTACCATGTACCTGGGGCCCACGGTGGGCCCTATATACCTCGTCTCCTGGAGTTTTATGGGGATATTTAAGATATCTCGTTGAAACTCGTTACTCAGGGGTTTTTGGGGTCGCTGAAAACGAATATCACAACGAAAATTATTTCTTAATTTATTTACAAATTTTCCACATTTTCTTCCTCTGTGTTAATTTATCTTGCTCAACATTCGAACAGTTACAGTCGGCACAATTTTTACACGCTAAATTGCAGGATAATCCTTGTTTTCTGCACCCGCACGTGTTACCGCATTTCAAAATTAAAAGTGATTTTTGTTTTATAACTTGTATACAAACAACCAAGCGAAATAAATTAAATATTTACAATACAACTTTAGAAGACAAAATGATTAGGGCCCGCCCTGGGCACCAGGTACACGGTAATACATTTTTACAGTGATATTCGTTTTCAGCGACCCCAAAAACCCCCAAGTAACGAGCTTCAACGAGATATGTTGAATATCCCCATAAAACTCCAGGAGACGAGGTATATAGGGCCCGCCCTGGGCCCCAGGTACATGGTAGAACATTTTCACAGTGATATTCGTTTTCAGCGACCCCAAGAACCCCTGAGTAACGAGTTTCAACGAGATATCTTAAATATTACCATGAAACTCCAGGAGACGAGGTATACAAGAGTCACCCTGGGCCCCAGGTACATCGTAGTACATTTTCGTTGTAATATTCGTTTTCAGCGACCCCAAAAACCCCCGAGTGCAGAAATTAGACTCATTTTTACCGATATTTAGTGAAATACACATATTGACCAAGTCGTGAGTTCAAGCTGCATCCCTGAAATGCGTTTATTGCACCCCCGGGGAGCAAATTTTCATTTGTCCCTCATAAATTTTGTTCACAAAGTTTCTAGACGCTCTCCCGAATCGAATGCCGAAAACCGCATCTCAATCCGACTTACTGCTCAAAAGATCGGAGATTTGGCCGTTTTTTGTGCTTTATTTCCTCGTCTATAATTAATAATCGCGTTGGTAACAGGACTTGGTGAGGTTTATGTAGCCGAAGGTACATAACACACGCAGGCCGTTGCTGCTACATGCGGAGCGCGCTGCAATCAGACGAAAGCGCGGCGCTTTTTTGCCGCAATAGACGCGCGCGCGCGGCCCGCAGCGTGCACGTTTAATCCGAGGATTAATTTTGAATATACAAGAAGGAAAGCTCGCGCTTGCATGATTCAGCAGTGAATATAATCAGCATACGACAATGAAAGTACACCAAATAGCACAACCACGCAGCAAGCCCCA